GTTATATCAATCACATATCCCTAGCATGTGTAGACATGAACCCCAAATCACAAAACACATGTACAAGCAGAGAATAGGTTTTTTCCTTTTTTTTTTTTTTTTGAGACAGTTTCATTGTGTCCCCTGGGTAGAGTGCTGTGACACACCGCTCACAGCAACCTCCAGCTCTTGGGCTTAAGGGATTCTCTTGCCTCAGCCTCCCAAGTAGCTGGGACTACAGGCACCCATCACAATGCCCGGCTACTTTTTAGTTGTAGTTGTTGTTTGGCAGGCCTGGGCTGGATTCGAACCTGCCAGCTCCAGTGTATGTGGCTGGTGCCCAAGCCAGAAAACATGTTTTCAGTATGGATTTCCATGTGAAATGTATAGAGAAGACATATATCCCCCAAATGTTTAGGGGAAATAGTGAAGGAAATACTGAAAATAGAAAAAAAATAAAACAGAAGGAAATGCTACTGTACTTGACTTGATATTAGGGTTGGGATTACACATAGAAAATCACAAATACACAAATACACATTCATATACAAATAAACAAAGATGTATATATACAGTCATAGGGCACATGATGTTTTATTCAACAACAGACCACATACGAAGCAGTAGTAAGATTTTTTTAAAGTCTGGCTGAATATGATGATATATGATTAGGTTACATTGTTTGCATTTGTAGTCCTATGAGATTATGATACCATATTTTTGCTGTACTTCTCTATGGTTAGCTATGCAAATACCTACCACGGTCTTGCAGTTGACTGCAATACTCAGCACAGTAACATGCTACCCAGGTGTGCAGCCCAGGAGCAGTAGGCTGTACCATATAGTTGATGTGTGTGGCACACTAAGTCGTCTAGGTTTGTGTAAGCACACTCTCTAATGTTGACAGCATGCCCCCTCTTTTTTTTTTTTGTAGAGACAGAGTCTCACTTTTTTGCCCTCGGTAGAGTGCCACAGCTCACAGCAACCTCCAACTCCTGGGCTTAGGCGATTCTCTTGCCTCAGCCTCCTGAACAGCTGGGACTACAGGTGCCCGCCACAACGCCCGGCTATTTTTTTTTGTTCTTGTTGAAGTTTGGCTGGGGCCAAGTTTGAACCCACCACCCTTGGTATATGGGGCAGCACCTTACCCACTGAGCCACAGGCACCACCCCACCATGCCTCATTGTTAAGCGACATATGACTGTATGTGCTTATATACAAATTATGATAAACAAGTTACAGAAGCTGGATATGGTGGCTCGTATCTGTAATCCTAGAACTCTGGGAGGCCGAGGCAGGTGGATTGCTTGAGCTTTGAGACCAGAAGTTCAAGACCAGCCTGAGCAAGAGTAAGATTCTGTCTCTACTAAAATAGAAAAACTAGTTGGGCAATGTGGGGGGTGCCTATAGTCCCAGCTACTCGGGAGGCTGAGGCAAGAGGATCTCTTGAACCCAAGAGTTTGAGGTTGCTGTGAGCTGTGATGACCAAGGCACTCTACGCTAGGGCGATGGAGTGAGACTCTTGTCAGGGAAAAAAAAAGTTACAGTGATTATAAAACCTTTTCAGCTGACATTCTTGTTTTTGTTCTTTGCAGATATACAATGCACAGAATATCCAATAAGTAGCTCTGGACTCATTTACTTTTACAGTTATATCATAGACTTGCTTTCTGGAACCGTAAGTATTTAACATAATCTTTTGTTTGGACCCTCCATATACTGAAAATTGGTGGATTTAAAGATCAGCTTCCTGAATGTGTGCAGTGAGAGTCAAACACAAAAGAATCAGGATTTGTGATTAGTTCAGTAAGGACGATGGTCACCCATCCCTGCTAGCATGACAGGAAACGTGCTCTGTCACCTGCAGTCATTGTCCTATTGTCCTTTTCCCAGTCCTGGCCACCCTCCTACTGTAACAAAATACCACGTTCCCCCACGGAAAGAAGTTTCTGTGAAAACAAACCTGGATAGAATTTATTTAATTTCTCTGGTGCTGAAAACCTTGAATATTTTGAGTTGCTAGGCTGTATGGATGAAAGGTGTGTCTTTACTCCCCAGAAATTATACACAGAAACATGTGTGATGCACAGACTCACTTCGGCACACACATCATGTACACAGGCATACATAGATTCCTTGAAATGTCTTAAAAGTCTATGGATCCTAGGTTAATACCTCCTGCTCTAAAAAGGAATTAATTTCATTGTTCTTACAGTAGTTCTAAAGTTTTTTTTTTTTAATCATCTTCTAAAAAACTTATTTTGTGGGTATGTGTTAATTTGTTCATCCCACTTTTTTTTTAGCAAGTAAGATCGCAGCTATGAAAAGTGGCCATCTGTGCCTTCTAAACCGGGGTTTCTCAACCTCAGCACTGTTGGGATTTGGGATCAGAGCACTCTGTGTTGTGGGGGCCATCCTGTGTATTGTGGGATGTGGAGGAACACCCCGGTGTCTATCCACTGGATGCCAGTGGCACACTCTGTCTAGTTATAATAACAAAAAACGCTTTTAGACACTGCCAAATGTTTTCTGGGGGACAGAATGGCCCCCATGGAGAACCACTGCTATATTATGAAGTACAAATAAATAGCCATATCATTTTGAAAGTTGTCATGTTATTGAGCTTCCATTTTTCTGAACAGATGGGTAGAAAGCCTGGAATTTGTCCATGGCATTTGTTTTTGTTTTTCTTTTGAGATGGAGTCTTGCCCTATCGCCCTCAGTAGAGTGCACAGTGGCATCATCGTAGCTCGCAGTAACCTCAAATTCTTGGGCTCACACTATCCTCCCAATTTGGCCTCCTGAGTAACTGGGACTACAGGTGCCTGCCCCAAGGCTTGGCTAATTTTTCTAGGTTTAAGGGGAGTCTCACTCTTGCTCAGGCTGTTCTCACTCCTGAGCTGAAAGGGTCCTCCTGCCTGAGCCTCTCAGAGTGCTGAGATTGCAGGTGGGAGCCACCTCGCGTAGCCCTATCCATATGTTCTTAGGCCAGCTCTACGTATCTTGATTACTGCTGCTTTGTAGTAAGTTTTGAGGTGAGGTCATATGAACCTTCCAACTTTGTTCTTTTCTAAGGTTGTTTTGGTTATTCTGGGTATCTTATAATGGTCCATATGAATTTTAGGGTTAGCTAGTCAGTCTCTACAAAGAAGCTGGCTGGATTCTGTTGAATCTATAGATCAATTTAGTGAGTACTGCAGTGGATCTTCTGATCCATAAACATGGGATTTTTTATTTATTTATTTATTTAGCGCTTCTTAATTGAATTCCCCAATATTTTATTGTATTCAGAGTATGAGATTTGCGCTTACTCTGTTAAATTCAGTCCTAAGTGTTTTAGTCTTTTTTGATGCTGTGGCACATGGAACCTTGTTCTTAATTTCAGTTTTGGATTATTACTTGTGCATTTGTAATGCTAAGGTTTTATCAGTGTGACTGATAACCTCTGGAGATTCAGGGATGAAGTAAGGACACTTGGATATGTATGTAGTATTACTACCTTGAGGCAGAAACTGCTATTGGTTCCTTACAGTGAGCTGATTAGTCTGACCTCATGCCCTTGGGTTTCTTTCAGGGTTTCTTGGAGGAGACCAGCCTCTTTTATGGACATTATACCATTGATGGGGTGAAATTTCAGAACTTCACCTATGATCTTCCCCTGGCTTATTTGTTAAGTGCAATTGTCTACCTGGCCCTGAGCCTTATTTGGATAGTGAAAAGGTAAAGTTTTATCTTTTGGTTTTTTTTGAGACAGAGTTTCACTCTGTCACCCTGGGTAGAGTGCTGTGGCGTCATAGCTCACAGCAACCTCAAACTCTTGGGCTTAAGTGATTCTCTTGCCTCAGCCTCCCAAGTAGCTGGGACTACAGGCACCCGCCACAACACCCGGCTATTTTTTTAGAGGTGGGGTGTCACTCTTGCTCAGGCTGGTCTCCAACTACCGAGCTCAGGCAATCCACCTGCCTTGGCTTCCCAGAGTGCAAGCAATATAGGCATGAGCCACCACAGCTGGCGTAAAGATTTATCTTGTCATTGTGTTATCTCTGAATTACCTTTCATGGCTGGTGTCTGTGAGCTCTGAGCTCTGGGAGCCTTTGCCCAAAGGATGAGTGGCATTCAGGGGTGGGCTTTGTGGGGAAAGGTTTCTGAGTATGTTGGCACCCAAGGAGACCTGGATGAAATAGAAGTCAGGATTTGGGAGCTGGTGTAGCAGCCTGAGGTACTTTAGTCATTATTGAACACAGCTGGCAATCCCATCAGCATCTGTGCACACCCTATCTTTACTATGGTTGTATATTAACTAGGTCTCTATTGGGTTGTAGGTGGCAGAAACCCCAATCTGGCTAGCTGGAGCAAAGGGGTACTGAGTGGCTGAGAGAACCAAGGAAGGCAGGAAACTCAAATTACACTAAGGACAACTGGTATTCAACTTCAGGGGTCATTAATGCCTATTAACAAGATCAAAAACAAAGATTCCCTCATCTGTAATTCCTTTGTGGAGTGGCAGTTTCCTTAAGTACTGGGAAACAGGGCATCTTATAGTTTCCCTCTGCCTGGGACTCCCTGGCACAGGTGCAGAAATCCTTCAAAGGGACATGTTGGCTTTGCTTCATTCAGGGACCCAGCCCCAACCCTTCGGCTATGGCCAGGGGGTTAGGGTCATAGGACAACATGGCTTTCCCATGGTAAACCACCAAAGTGGTTTAATGAGAGATAGCAATCCCCAATAAAATGGAAATTTAATTACTTTCACAGACAATTGTCCCCAAAGATACAATGACTCAAACATAATAGACATTATCTTTCTTATTTTATTTTATTTTTTATTTTTTGAGACAGAGCCTCAAGCTGTCCCCCTGGGTAGAGTACTGTGGCATCACAGCTCACAGCAACCTCCAACTCCTGGGCTCAAGCAAGTTTCCTGCCTCCACCTCCCAAGTAGCTGGGACCACAGGCGCCCGCCACAATGCCTGGCTATTTTTGTTGTTGTTGTTGTTGCAGCCGTCATTGTTGTTTGGCGGGCCTGGGCTGGATTCGAACCCACCACCTTAGGTGTATGTGGCTGTCACCTTAGCCACTTGAGCCACAGGCGCCGAGCCTATTTTTCTTTTTTACATGACAGTTCTGGGTAGGGGCACAGGTTAGTGTGATAGAATCCTTCTCATGGCATTCTGGGACTTACATTGACTGAAGTACAGCCATCTTCAGCATGTGGCTTTGAAGGTTTTGCTGAGGGCTGGGAGGAGAAGGCATGGTAGAGTACCATGTGGAAGGTATTTATAGGCCAGACCTGGAAGTGATGTATATCACTCACATCCCATTGGCTGCACTCAGTCACATGACCATAGCTAACTGTAAGGAAGGCTGGGAAATGTTGTCCCTGGCTGGGTAGCCACTTCCCAGTGGTAACACTGTACTATGGAAGGTGAACCACAGTTTTGTTTTGTTTTTTTGACAGAGTCTCATTATGTCACCCTCAGTATAGTGCTGTGGCATCACAGCTCACAGCAACCTCAGACTCTTGGGCTTAAGCGATTCTCTTGCCTCAGCCTCCCAAGTAGCTGGGACTACAGGTGCTCACCACAAAGCCCAGCTATTTTTTGTTGTAGTTGTCATTGTTGTTTAGCTGGCCCAGGTCAGGTTCAAACTTGCCAGCCTAGGTGTAGGTGGCTGACACCGTAACCCCTATGCTACGGGCGCTAAGCCTGAACCACAGATTTTTGATGGACAGTTTGATCTTGGTCAGGCTCGCCCATCTCAGGGGCTTGGTTGCTTTCTGGGTGTGATGCAATGAGGGAAAGACCTGTCATGGCACTGGAGGGAGGGAATGCCATAGAGTGGCAAAGAGTATGGGCTTTGGAATCCAGAGACCAAGGTCTGAATGTCAGACACTTCACCTCTTTGATTCTTATTTTCTTCATCTATGAAATATATAAACCTGAGGTGGCACCTGTGGCTCAGTGAGCAGGGCACTGGCCCCATACACCAAGGTTGGCAGTTCGAACCCGGCCCCGACCAAACTGTAACAAGGAATATATACATCTGGCAAGGTTGTTGGGAGGATTAACAGAACAAGCCAGCACCTCGTAGACATCTATAAAATTAAAATCATCATGGGTGGCACCTGTGGCTCAAAGGAGTAGGGCACTGGCCGCATGTGCCAGAGGGTGGTGGGTTCAAACCCAGCCCTAGCCAAAAAAACTGCAAAAACAAAAATTTTAAATCATCATTATTGTCATCAAATTAGCACCAGCTCCAACTCCCTGGATCTAAAGAAATAATATTCCTGGATGGCGCCCGAGGCTCAGTGGGTAGGGCGCTGGCCTGATATACCAAGAGCGGCGAGTTTGAACCCGGACCCGGCCAAACTGCAACAACAACAACAAAAATAGCTGGGTGTTGTGGCAGGCACCTGTAGTTCCAGCTACTTGGGAGGCTGAGTCAAGAGAATTGCCTAAGCCCAAGAGTCAGAGGTTGCTGTGAGCTGTGATGCCACAGCACTCTACCAAGGGCAACAAAATAAGACTCTGTCTTCTAAAGAAAAAAAAAAAAAAGAAGAAAGAAATAATGTTCCCTTCTTTGGATCTTAGCTTCCTTACCTGTGAAACAGTAAAACATAGTTTGGCCTAAATCAGAGGTTTTCAGCCAGGCACGGTGGCTCATATCTATAATCCCAGCAATTTAAGAGCCTGAGGCAAGAGGACCACTTGAGGAGAGGCATTTGAGACCAGCCTGAGCAACATAGTGAGACCCTCATCTCTACAAAAACTTAAAAAAATTAGCCAACATGTGGCACATGCCTGTAATCCCTCCTACTTAGGAGGCTGAGGCAGGAGGATTGCTTGAGACCTGGAGTTTGAGACCACTGCACTCCAGCCTGGGCAACAGAGCAAGACCCTGTCTCAAAAGAAAAAAAAAAGATAAATCCGAGGTTTTCAACTGGGATGGATCACCATGAGCTTTATAAAATGGCGTATTTCTGGACACTCCCTGCACCAAGAGATATACTAAATTGAAAATCTCAGATTATGAGCCCATTTGGGGAACTTGCATTTTAAGAAAACAACCCAGGTGATTCTGATATAAAATCCTTGCTGTGACCCTTTGGCAGAATGACTGACCACAATAATTCCTTCCTCTTCTGTCTATCGTCTTTACGCCTCGCCGGCAAATACTGAAAATAAACCGTTTCATCTACAGAGGACTGTGTGTGGCATTTAGTGTTTTTATATTAAGTGTCAGGGTATAAGGAATAAAAATTATGAAATGTGCAACAGTCATATTTGGCCTAAGCAGGTGTTCACTAAATGTCTGTTTAATTTACTGTCTAAGTCATATATTTATTCATTTATCCATGAGTTCATATTGGCCATAGTATGGTCCACGCATTCTGGATATAAAGATGGCAGGTCAGCTAGGGTACCTGCCCTCAAGGAATTTAAAATGTAGTCAGAGTAAGGGGCTATACTCTGTATATATCTGTATACTCTATATATATCTGTAATAAACAGATAAAGAAGAAAATTTCAGAGTAAGGTCATTGCCATGAAGAAAATAAAAGGAACCAACTTGCAGTGGGAGTACTGTGACTTTAGATGGGGGTTAGGAATTATAAAGGAGGTATTTAAGCTGAAACTTACTAAAATAGCAAGGACACCAGCCATGGGAGGAGTCAGGAGAACTATCTCTGCAGTGGGAAGCAGCAAGGGCAGCAGCCCCCCAAGGCAGGATTAGGGATGCACGTGTTTATGGAAAGGCGGGAGAACCAGTGTAGTTACACAGGAGGAGAGACGGGGATCCCTAGGCTGTATTGAAGAGTTTGGATTTTATTCCAGCTGTGATAGAAGCCGTTTGGTGAATGAAAGGAAATGATTTTCCACAATGAGATACCTGGCTCACTGCCACATATATTTAGAATGGTCCAACTGGACCATATGAGAATGGGCTGAACATGCAATTTTAGGCAAAACCAATTCTTGAACCTCTATTTTGTTATTGTTCTTACAAGAAGGATGATTGTGTTTTGGGGTCAGGTCGGTGGAGGGGTTCAAAATCAACCTGATTCGGAGTGAGGAGCACTTCCAGAGTTACTGCAACAAGATCTTTGCCGGCTGGGACTTCTGCATCACCAACCGCAGCACTGCGGATCTGAAGCACAGCAGCTTGAGGTACGAGCTCCGGGTAAGTGCTGCTGGGTTTTCCCTGGGCAGAGTCCCCACCTGCAAAGTTCTGCTTTGGGAGGCTGAGTTTGCAGCTTGCAGAGGATCTATCTAGGGTGGGGGCCAGGCTGTCCCCGGTGCTTAGCTAGTTCCCCCCATGTAGTTTTCAAGAGCTCTTCACCGTCAATAGCTTACAGGGGTTTATCACCTTGCATCCAAGCAGGGGCACTGGTGAACTGGGTCTGGGAAAGGAGGTGGGGACACACAGAGCCTAGGAGATTGTGCCCCCCCCCCACATGCCCTCTAGGGAACTGAGGAGTGACTGTTACGATAACAGGGTCCAGTGGAGAGTAAGTGTCTGAAAATGTTTGAGAAAATTTCCAAAGTAATAAGGAGAGAAAGAGTAATGAAGAGCATCTGGATCAAACCCATCAAAGAAAAAAAGGAGGCCCAGGTGGGAGGATTGCTTGAAGCCAGGAGTTCAAAACCAGCCTGAGCAAGATCAAGCCCCTGTCTCCACAAAAAATAGAAAAATAAGCAGGGCATAGTGGTTCACACCTATAGTTCCAGCTACTTGGGAAGCTGAGGCAGGAGGATCTCTTGGACCCAGGAGTTTGAGGTTGGGGTGAGCTATGATGACACCACTGTACTCTAGCCTGGGCACCAGCACAAGACACTGTCTCGAAAAAAGAAAAGGAGAAGGAGCCATGTAAATCAAAAGCTTAATAAAATAAGGTGGAAGGAACAAAATCAAATGTATTATTTCTTCCATGAAATCTGAGCAAATTGAATTCTCCTATTAAAATCCGAGACTACCATATTGGGTTAAAAGAAAAAATAACAATACCCACCTATATGTTGTTTAAAAAAATGACACATGCCGGGCGCGGTGGCTCACGCCAGTAATCCCAGCACTTTGGGAGGCCAAGGTGGGCGGATCGCCTGAGCTCACAAGTTCGAGACCAGCCTGAGCTACAAAGAGACCCCCATTTCTACAAATAGCCGGGCATTGTGGCAAGCACCTGCATTTCAACTACTTGGGAGGCTGAGGCAAGAGAATCGCTTGAGCCCAAGAGTAAGAGGTTGCTGTGAGCTATAACACCAGGGCGCTCTACTTGGGGGCAACAAAGTGAGACTCTGTCTCAAAAGAAAAGAAAAAGACACATACTATACTTACCTGGCGGGAGCAATACCATGATCACGAAGGTAGTTTTCCCAGGGCGAGGCTTATCCATTGCACTCCGGATGTGCTGACCCCTGGGATTTTCCCAACTCTGGGAAACTACTGCATAATTTGTGGTAGCAGGGGACTGCATTCGTGCTTTCCCCTGTTTAAAAAAAAAATGACACATACTATATGTAGGAAATAACCGTGAATAGGTTATAGCTCTGTTTTCACGTGTATTGGGAAGCCTGACTGCAGACTGGAATGAGAGGTTCTGCTTGCCTTGGGCCTTTAGAAGTCACAACAACTTGTTTGGGTTAGTCTGGGAACGTATCTCAGGAGAGATGAACATTTAAGGGAGGTTGTACAGACGGATGGGGTGGGTGTGATGAATCAAAGATCCCATTCCTGAATATTCCTTCGTCTCCAGCGCTCACAGGTGAGTTTTCTTTGATCCCCAGGCAGATCTGGAGGAAGAAAGAATACGGCAGAAAATAGCAGAAAGGACCTCGGAAGAAACGATACGCATTTACTCTCTGAGACTGTTTTTGAACTGTATTGTTCTGGCTGTTTTAGTGGCGTGCTTTTACGCGATCTATATAGCAACTATCTTCTCGCAAGAACACATGAAGAAAGTGAGTACTCCATGAGGGTCAGTCTAACCTGTAGTCTGGTTGGGGATTGTGTTAACTGCCTTGTGAACCTGTGCGGTAAATACTGTCATCATTTCTGTTTTATGTTTAGGGATATGAGTGTGGCTGATAGGACCGAGAGCTGAAAGTCTGAGATGATCAATTTGCACTTTTAAATTTTAAAAAGCATCTAAATTAGAGAGACACCTACTGGTCTCAGAATTCACAATATTCAAGTCTAGGTTGGATTGCATCCTGACGTCCCTACGCCTCTACTTACTAGCTAAGGCCTCAGTTTATCTAAAGTGGCAGTGGTTTTGAAACTGGTTTTGAAGTTGGGCTAGAGGCTCTGCTTCCTGAAATGATTTATCTGGGACCCAGTTTGTGTTGCTGTCTGTAGGGTGTGGCCCTCTTCTGTGTGGTAAAAGATAGCTCTCCATCATGTCTACTATCGCAACCCCTTGGGCCCCTGTGGCCCTGGTCCCCATCACAGCAGGAAGGAACCAGGCGTGACACGGATTAGAAGTACAAGCTCATAGGAGGCGGGCTAGCCCTTCTTAGCAGGGCAGCCCCAAGCAACGTCCACACTAGCCTTTTATTGAGACTGTACCACACAGGTGAGGGGAGTAATTAACAAGGACTACGTGCTGAAGGCTCGGGCTCTTTCTCCACAAGGAGCACATGTGGACGAATAGCCAGAGGGTCCACCCCTCAGCTGCACATCATCTTGCTCAGAGGTCGTCTGACTCTCGGCGTCCCCTACAGTTTACACTCTAGGCAATAGGAAGGGGATGAAGGGGCGGAGATGTACATCCCTTCCCTGGATGGACATGATCTGGATCTGGACATGATCTGGACTTGAACTTATATCCCCTTGGCCCGAATTTGGTCACGCAGCTGTACCTACTTACGAGGGAGGCCAGGACATTTCCTTTTTTTTTTAAGAGATGGGGTCCTGGCTCGGCGCCTGTGGCTCAAGCGGCTAAGGCGCCAGCCACATACACCTAAGGTGGCAGGTTTGAATCCAGCCCGGGCCCACCAAACAACAATGACAGCTGCGACCGAAGAAAAAATAGCTGGGCGTTGTGGCGGGCGCCTGTGGTCCCAGCTACTTGGGAGGCGGAGGCAGGAGACTCGCTTGAGCCCAGGAGTTGGAGGTTGCTGTGAGCTGTGATGCCATGGCACTCTACCCAGGGGGACAGCTTGAGGCTCTGTCTCAAAAAAAAAAAAAAGAGATGGGGTCTTAAAATTGATCATACCTCACTGCAACCTCCAGCTTCTGGGCTCAAGCAACCCTCCCATCTCAGGTTCCCACATAGTTGGGCCTAACAGGTCAACACTTCACTAATTGTTTACATTTTTTGTAGAGGCAAGGTCTTAAGTCACTCTGGCTAGTCTCCAATTCTCAAGCAATCCTCCACCTCGGCCTCCCAAAGGGCACGGCAGGATGTTTGCTTTTTATTCTGGATAGCTATGTACGTGGCTAAATAGTGAGTTGCTATGAAAGGAGCAAATGGCTATTCCATATCCATCACTACTACATCCTTAAAAAGACTTTCATTTGCCAATTTATGCAGAATACGTGGATTGCGTTTTCTATATGTCACCTAAATAAATGCAACAGAGCTCGTTTTTCTTCCAGCACGGTACTAGATACCTGTGTGTGAGCACTGAGGAAGGAGATGACTTATGTGTATAGGCCCTGTTGAATGACCAGTGTGTTTTGTTTGTCAAACATGCATAGTTGAGTTTTTTTCAGTGTAATTCCTTTGTGTTGCAATTTATTATGCTTCTAACCAGTAAGTTTTTTTTTAATCTTCCTAGGAGATTGACAAGATGGTTTTTGGAGAGAACCTCTTGATACTGTACCTACCGTCTATTGTGATCACACTGGCCAATTTTATCACCCCAATCATTTTCGCCAAGATCATCCACTATGAGGACTATTCCCCAGGTTTTGAGATCCGGCTGACAATCCTTAGGTAATGCATAACTCGAAGATGGCCCACCTGCCAAGCAGACCACCACTTGTCTGTGACAGACATTACTAATCAGTGGCGGTACATTTTGCTGCTGAGCCAAGAATCCTCAACCTTCAAACAGCCCCTGTGAATGAGTCAGAGTTTGTACCTTCGGTGAATCTCTTTGATTTGAGAGTTTGCTCGTGGTGTTTTATTTTTGGTCCATGTATTAGCACACTGACACTAAAGACATAGGCTGGGGCCATTGGAGAAAGTGTTGCTCTGAAGCTGTCATAAATGACAGGTATAGCCAGAGTCCAGAGCGTTGATGAAGAGGACCAGGTAGGGACTGTGTGAAACTTCAGAGTTCTCTTTCTCCTTCTCAAATTCCTGAGCTTACATTTGCATCTTACTTTTTTTTTTTTTTTTTTTT